GGCTGCCCCTGCCCTACGAGAGCTTCGAGCTGCCCGAGGAAGAGGAGCTGGCCCCGCACCCCTTCCCCTTCCCCTACCAGCCCCCACTGTCCCCCGAGGAGGCCGCCTCTGACGAGGACGCCATTGACCCCGACCTGATGGTGTACCTGAGCTCGCTGCACCACGAGTCGCTGGCGCCCGGGCTGGATACCCCCGACAAGCTGGTGCGCAAGCGTCGCTCGCAGATGCCCCAGGAGTGCCCCGTCTGCCACAAGGTCATCCACGGCGCTGGCAAGCTGCCCCGCCACATGCGCACACACACGGGTGAGAAGCCCTTCGCCTGCCAGGTCTGCGGGGTCCGCTTCACACGGTGAGTGTTGCCGGATGGACCCTCCCTGCCTGACAGGTACCTGACGGCATCCCCCATGGCACGTCCCCTGCCAGCCCTGCCGGTGCCTGGCCACATCCCTGGCATGGTGCAGCCCAGGTCCGTGGGGTCTTCTGCACCCCATGAGCGCTGCCAGACCGACCCTCCCTGCCTGCCACCCGGGGGACCTGGCAGCATCCGCCGCAACACCTCCCCTGCCAGCCCTGCCAGTGCCTGGCCACATCCCCGCCATGGTTCAGCGCAGGACCGTGGGCTCTTCTGCACCCCATGAGTGCTGCCAGACCGACCCTCCCTGCCTGCCACCCGGGGGACCTGGCAGCATCCCCTGCCAAACCTGGCTGCATCCCTGGTGTGGTACAACACAGGGACCCATTTTGCACCACCGCTGGTGCAACGGCGGTCCCCGCACGCCCTAGCCAGGCAGCCCAGGCGTGGTCCCCTGCCCCGCCAGAGCACCCAGACCCCCACGCCCTGCAGAGCATCCCTGCCACACATTCCCTGCCCACGCATCCCTGCCGTGGGGCTGCCGGCACCATCCCCCTGCCTGCCGTGGCCGGGTGGCTGCTTCCCCAGGGATGCCGGCCACCCCATGCCAACGTCTGCCTGTCCCCCCCCCAGGAACGACAAGCTGAAGATCCACATGCGCAAGCACACGGGCGAGCGGCCCTACTCCTGCCAGCACTGCAGCGCCCGCTTCCTGCACAGCTACGACCTGAAGAACCACATGCACCTGCACACGGGCGCCCGGCCCTACGAGTGCTACCTCTGCCACAAGGCCTTCGCCAAGGATGACCACCTCCAGCGGCACCTCAAGGGCCAGAACTGCGACCGCCCTGGCCCCGGCCCCGCCGCCGTCGCCGTGATGAGCCACCCCCACCGCCCGCCGGCCCCCCCGGCCTCGACCTCTCCAGCTGGAGGGGCTGCGCCTCTCGCCTCT